AATAAAATCGACAAATCAAAATATTCAGAGAAATTTTATTTTCAATTCGTATCATTCAAAAAAATTCGTCTTGGTGTCGATAAAAATTCACAGTGAATTTCAGATTTTTTAAAAATCATTTTTTAATATTTAGCATTTATCTTTTCTTTTAAATACCTCATCATTACTGGTTAGACTCGCTCCGCTGGCTTGTCGTACAAGGCAAATATACCAGGGAGTCCCTTAGCGATAAAAATACGTGAATCGCTCGCATAACTCGGATTTTTTGGACAGGTTTACCCCTGCTGAGAGAATTTCAGCATCGATGCTCTGAGCAAAAACCCACTGAGCCATTCTTCCTCCAATTATCAGTTATCTAATTGAAATTGATAAGAATAGATAGAAGTATGAAGATTAATCGTTTTGCAAGGTGCACTTCCTTTTAAAGTTGAAAAATCTTAGTGCAGAATGCTTAGCTGCATCGATGAACGAAGACTTCTCGAAGAAATATCGACGTTGCAACTATTCACGTCAACTAAAGTTTCACGTACTTCACATTTACGATTCTAATTTACGAGTGTAGTAACCAGTAGATTGTGATTACAGATGTGAAAGAGAACAAGAGATGCGAGACAGATTCATGCAAAATTCTTCAAAATAGGAATAATAAGAAAGAATAAAATTCACCTCTAATGAAAGAATAAATTAAATGAGAGGGCACAATCGATTGTGAGCAATGAGAAAATAGTACCACAGGAATGATAAAAGAATAAAGAGAAACGAAAGGAGAAATAAGAAATGCAAAAGCCATTTTTCAGAAACTCTTCTCATAAGTTCAATAAAGTATGATTGACTCGTTGGCTCAGTGATAGCAAAATAATTGCCACTGTGAAACGAGGCTTGGGTTCGAATCCGCCGATGCACGATTTTCGTCGGGCAGAACTGTCGCCTAAGGGAAAAAAGCGACTGAAAGTAGAGGACAGTATTAATGGTCAGGCAAAAGATGATCGCATCAGATGACGGCAGCTAGAAATGCGTTTTTCCGGTTGACGAAACCTTTATGGAGTCGTCACCATAAAAACGAAAGTCCGCATCTATGTAGCCGTGATCCGTTCGATTTTGCTATATGGTTCTGAAACATGGGCAATGAGAGTGGAGGATATTAAGAAGTTATCTGCCTTTGACCACTCTTGTCTAAGGCATATATTACGGATCCGTCGAGCTGATAAGATATTACATGATCGCATCCACCTTCGCTCAAATATCACTTGCATAAATAATATTATCACAGAGCATCGCCTTCGCTGGTTAGGGCACGTTCTCCGTCGACCACCCCAGAAATTGACGCATATTTCGTTACTTGCTAAACCGTGTAATGGGTGGCGTCAAAAGCGAAGTGGACCAATCAAGACCTGGACTGATACGGTTAGAAAAAATTTTGAACGTATAGGTGGACCAGCAATATATGGGCTTAGACGATGGAAAAAGGAATGGCTTCTATTACTATTTACGATAGCATCAGGCCGCGCTGCTTGGAAGTGTCTTACCCTTGTAGCCACTGGAGCCAGCCTAACCAGTAATGGTGAGGGCTATTACAAAAAAAGAAGATACACAGTGGATTGTTGCTCAATTCGTAGTGTCAATACTGAAATTCTATTCCCAGCAGGAATATAAACCCGTCCAAAAATCCAGATGATACTGACGGCTCACCTGTACTTCTATCGCCAATGGAATCCCTCGCATATTTGTCGAATCCGATAAGTTAACGGAGCGAGTTAATCAATAGTGGTGAGTGCCCTTTAAATTAATCATTGTCAACTATTTTATCATTCTCCAAGCATAGAACATAAATGAACTGCCATGATCCAGGAGTACTGTTCTTTTTAAATCACCACATGAATTATTTTCAAATTCGCGCCTTTTCATGGCATTGGCAGATTGCCATCATTTTTTTTTTGCAATTTTTCTGGATAGGTCAGCTGTTCCGTACCTAGACTCTATACTTTTTCGTTGTTGTTCGCCGGGGTTGTTTCGTCGACCTAATTGAATCTATTATCGATGGTTGTGGATTTTACCCGAGAGACGAATAAAAACAGAAATCTGTCTGTGGAAATTTGTTGATATTAAATTTCGAACGTTATCATTATTCTTTAGGCAGTTTATTTATTTCTCGGCGATCTGAAACTGTTATTTCCTTTTACGATTGACTTATTAATGGCTTTCTTTGAAAGTCTCATTGAATGTTCAATGAAAGCGCTTCTTTTGCTTCTCGTGGAAGGTGAGAATTGCTGTGAGATTTGCTATGTTTTCTTGCGGGAGTCTCGTGGAAGTTGCAGATTCATTTGAGAAGTTCGTGAAAGAAAGTTTATTTTCTGAAGAATTTGCGTAAACGATTAACAAATAATATTGGAAAGGAAATCTGGTTTGCTTGCTTATTTTCAAAATTTCAAAATATTTAGTTGTTTTGCATCATTCACATAATCTGAGATGTATCTCGAGGCGTCTGTTCTTGACTTGTTAAAAACCATCGGTTTAGAGAATCGTTTTTGTTTTTTCACGTTTTTTCCTCACCAATTTTTTTACATTTGCTTTATTTTATCTCTTTGCTATCGCATTCGATCCAGCTTACAGAGCGGCACTATGGAGACTGATAGATTACGATGGTACGGCAAGGAAGATCGTTCGAATCATTAAGGCATTTTGCCATCATAAATCAGCACAGATCTGTGTATATGGAGAAATTAAGAAATTCTTGAAATCCTTAAGAACTAATGTCAAGGCTGCGTCGTTTCCGAGCTGCTTGGCGTCATTCAAGAGGTGTACAAGTCAGTCCAGAGTATCACAGATCTTGAATGCGCTTATAATCCTTTTTGCTGGTGAAGGAATGCAAAAGGTGCTAGAAATGTGTCGGCAACTACAGCAAAAATCGGACCAGAACCGATGTGTACTTGGAAGAATACCTATTTTCATTCATCATCAAGGGTTAAGGAAATGTCAGACTTTAAATATCTTGGATCCACTCTTGGATCATGCCAAACGGTCAAGCGAAAGATAGAATTGCAACTCGGATAATGACAATGGAAATGCGTTCTTCCGTCTGGTGAAGCGTCTATAGAGTAGGAATGAAATACCTTCAGAACAAAATTTCCCATCTATCTGGCTGCAATTCGTACCATATATATGGTTGCGAAATGGCCAGTGATAATGAAAGATATTAAGAAACGATCCTTTTTTATTCTTGATCACTCATATCTAAAGCATATATTGTATGCTGGCTGGATCGAATCTCATGATTGTATCCACCTTCAGTCAGATATCATATACATAAACAATATCGTCGCCCATGTTAATTAGGCCATATTCTTCGCTCATCGCAGGAATTGATGCATACCTCGCTATTTGCCTGTGTTGGATAGCGTCAGAAGTGCGAACCAATCAAGATCTGAACTGACAATCAGAAGGTTTTTTAAAATCGACCTAGTGATATATGTGTAGATTTAGGTAGTGGAAAAAGGAGTCTTTTACTCTTAAATATAACATTGGATCGAGCGACTTGGAAGCGTTTTATTTTTATAGCCAGCGGAGTCAAATTAGTTATGGTGCGAGATGTTAGAAGATATTTCCCAGAATTTAAAATTTGAAAATTTTTAGTACAGCGGTGTGATTGAAACACATCATTGGTTTCATGTCAATAAGAGAAATGTTTGCCATCATTCTGCTTTGCGAAATTTTGATTTTCCTTCATCGTTTGAGCGATTTTAATTCATTTATTATTTTTTTTTTATACTGGTTTATAAGTTTTTTTTATGTGTCACGGGACAGCTGATCATTAATTGTTTTGTTTCACTTTTATCTACCTATCAGTGCCGTCAATTCAATGTTTTATAGGTTAAAATTTTGCATCGATAATATGCATCAATGATCACTATATAACGCTTCTACAAAGTGTTGTTTTATTGCATCGATTTATCATATACATACCCGATTTAGTTTAAGTTCTTCTTGCAACATCATTCCCATTTCAAGTTTGGTTTTTTCCACTATTTTTGTAGGGCAGGAATTCTTTGCCAGAGAGTCCCTTGCGATTGTAAGTACTAGTGGGTCCTCAGTGGATAGTACGTGAAGAAAATACAAATTTTGTGCTTTATTTGGGCATAAATTTTCATTCTTAAAGAATAACTGAAGCGCTTTTGACGTAAATTTTTTTCGGTTCTCCGTTAACATTTGCTTGAATTTTAAATCTTTATTTTATGCAAATTTGGCGAGATCAAACTTGCGATTTATATCGTTTATACTGAAAATTTTATTAAAACAGTAAGTGAATTTATCATTTATCGCTTATTTTTTGTGTTATCTTGCAAACCTTGGTATACCCCTCATCACTTTCTGATAAGCATTACTTTGCTTAATGAGGAGTAATTAATTACCCATTTGATGCAGGAAAAGCAAGAAATGAAGATATTTTTTTCTATCTTTTCTTATCTTTTCCAATCATCTTTGTTTTGGTCCTTGAAAAACATTTTTCGATGCAAAAGAAATTTTAAAAATATTAGAAATGAAAAAATTTTAAAATTTTAAAAATATTAGAAATGAAAAAAAACAATTGAACCCTTTAAACAGCTGTTAAAATTTTCTGCTGGAATTTTTCCATCTGAGTTTTTTTCTAAATTTTTTAGCAAACAATATGCCCGCGGTTCATTTCATTTTTTCTTTTTTTTTGCATTTTGTTATATTGATTATAATACATATTATGAATGTATAGTTATATGGTTACACAATATTTCACTGTATTTCTCGCTTACCATTTTTGCTCAAATGTTTGCACATGAGAAGTTAATTTGCTTCACGATAGAGAGCTTTCGCATAAATTACCATCTTAATTTTTTATTTTTTGCCTTCTTATTTTAGATAAAATTTCAGTTGGCAAAATCAGCAAAAATAGAAACAAACGGAATTCAGTGATTCGATTCAGACTACTTTTTATTATGCAGAAATTCGATAAAAATGGTAGTAAATCTATAATGGAAGCGGAAATGGCTGATCAAAATAGCAAAATTAAGGAAATGACCCTAGATGAAGCAAATGAAGTTAATGGATTGCAACAAGACTGGTTATCATCAACGATACCTTGGGGATCGGCATGGCTTAAGTCGGCGAAAGAAAAGGTAAATTTTTTTTATCGTAGAAATGAAAAAACTGGGGTACCAGTACTGCTAAAAAGATTCTATAGCATTTTTACGATGAAATTTTTTTTTGACTCAAATTGAAACAGCGAGGTTTTGTGGATCCAAACAAACTTCCTGTCTTCAAAACTACAATTTTTGTCATTGAAGACATATTCGACTCTTACACTTGTGAAGAAAGATTTGAGTGAACTTAGTGACGCAGTAGCTACTGAAGCCACTGCTTTGGCTTCTACAACAGTGGAATCAATACAACATATTGTTGGATTTGACAACGTTGAAAATGAGGTAGGAACTGTTGATTTTTTAATCAGTTTCAGTTGTTCAGTTTAGTTGTGCGAAGTCCTTGCCCTTGTTTGCTATATAATAACAGAATATTCACCTCTTATGACACAATTTTTGCTTTTATGGTTTTCAAGCTTTTCTCGAAATAGAAATCTTTTGCCTGAGGAATACGAAAATTATAAAATTATAAAATATGAGCTACTGATTATTTAGACTACTAACGAGCAGCCAGGCACTAATGTTGAACAAAATTCTTTCGGATTAAACTGGGCATCAAAATTACCTCCGCTATCTTCAATAGCTGATAATGCATGGATGAAGTCGCTTGTGGAAGCAGTGAAGAATATCGGGCAAGAAGACACCACTATAGGCGAGGACGAGTTTACCGAAATTATTCACCCGAAACAGTCGTCTGCTTCGAAACCGGCAAAAAAGTTTGCATTATCTACGGTAGGTTTTTATCTTTGTTTATTCTTTAAAAGAGATTAAACATTTTGGTTTAATTATGGATTTAAAAGGATGATGAAAAATATTTCCAAGAATTATTTGATATAGTGCTGTATTTTTCTACTTCAGGAATTGATTTTCGATCTTTCAAGATCGATTTTATTTTTAGGATCAGCTTTGTTTGTTACAAACGGATCGAATGACATATTCGGTTGAACCAGATGGTGATGAGCAGCTTTATAAATTATGGAAAGATGAATTTAATTTAGCGGAGCACGATGTTGAAATTAAGAGTCTTTTGAGCAATTGCCCCAATATGCGTGTGATTTATCAAGAAATGGTAATTTCTTTGAAGTTTTATATTCTGTAGTTTTTTTATAATATTTGCTAGTTCCTCAAAGTTTTATATTAGGCTGCATTTATGATTGGGCAATTAGGCTATTATAAAAATTTTTTTTATAAACGGTAATCATATTGAATTATGTGAACATTTTTCACGTATGAAAAATTTTATTATATTTATTATAGAATTATTGTATTTCCGGAGGTTAAAATGTAAAAAGAATGCACTAATTTTTTTCACAGGTTCCATCATCCATTTCGGATTTGCACTTCTGGCAGAGGTATTTCTACAAAGTTCACCAAGCTGAATTGATTGCTCAATGCGATAACGACTTGACAAATGAAGATTTTAGAATAAACGCTAAATCACCTTTGAAACAAAATTTTTCAATTAAATCTCCAAATCGAAGTATATTCTTTTTTGATACAATGATAACGGATCGCTTTCAGCCTTTAAACTAGCAAAATTTTTGTCTTGATTAATTTATCGTAGACTGTCGATTAGGATAGAATGGCTTAGCGGTTATTGTTCTCCTTTCTGAGCATTAATATGGGTAAGGCGTTTCCAAGCCACTTCATCATATGTCATATCTGAGAGTATTAGAAGCCGTCCCTTTTTCCATTATTTTAATCCATTGCTTGGACCACCTATATATTCAGAATTATTCTTGATTGTATCACTCCTTGTCTTGATTTCTCATTTTGATATCACAAGATTTGGTAAATATGCATCAATTTCTGTTATAAGCGGGGAGGAACATGGTTTAATCCAACGGAAGCGACCTTCTGTGATGATTTGCAGATGATGGCTGAGGATTTTGTCCTCTAGGCGAACACTTAAGTCAAAGGATAGGATAGGATATTTATATTCTCGACAGTCATTGGCTTGACAGTCATGTTTACAACTATATAGCAGCAACGAAATTTTTACGCATTTCAGCCATCAGATATAAATTTTCGTTCTGTTGATAATTTCGCAACTATTCCATAGTAATTTTGTCATTTCCAGCTGCCGTTATCTGGGCTGTACTTTTTTTATCTTCTGATTGGTGTAAAGAATGGATCCAAGATATTTTGAAGTCACCTTCCTTAATTACGTGGTGAATTAATAAAAATGAGCATTTTTTGAGCGTTAATACATCAATTATACATTGATTTTGAATCTGATTTTTGCTGCAATTGTCAATAACTATCTAGTATTTCTTGCATTTCATCATAACCGTCAGCGGAAAGGCTATGTCATCAATGGCATTCAAGATCTGTGGTACTTTGCTCTGGATACATTTGTACACCTCTTGAGCAAATTATATTCATAACCCACTCAATCGCATGGTTGAATAAAGAGGAAATGAAGCGGCTCTGATGGACACCAGTTCTTATTTCGATAGGATCTGTTAGTTCTCCATATAAACAGATTGTTTCGGTATACAGTGGTAGAATGCCTTTATGAATCGAATCTTTTTTGAATCATCGCACTCCAAAGCTCCACTCTATTGAAAGTGACGGTGGAAGTGAAATAAATCGTTATTTTTTTTTGGATATTTGGAACGGTATTCCAACAAGCTTTTTAGTCTGAATATTTGGTCATCACACCTGAACAGCTGTTTGAATCCAGCTTGGTTAATTGATATTAATTGCAACATATTTTATCACCTTCCTTGGGAATTGGGAGCAGGGAGTTTTGCTCTAGTCATCTAGTGTCTCCCATACGAGAAGGTACATCTGTTGAAAATGAGTTTAACTGAAAGACCCTTTTCTTCATTCAGGAGCTTTTATTCACTTCAAGCTTCCGGAATGATGAAGATTATTTCTTCTGTCAGCGGCTCATAGTTGCAAACATAAGGTTAGGCTATCGTTTCATTTACCGTTTAAAATGACATGGCGTATCATATTTAAGTTTAATCTTATTATGTCCAACGTAAAAGTCGAGATCTTTAATAGTATTAGCTATTAAAGATGTTAAAACCTTCATTGTCTCGGACCATTTCACTTTCTTTCCGGGAATCTCGAGTTATGGTTTGTTTAGAAAGCGGAATAATTTCCTGTTTTCATTTTCTCAAGTCATCTCCATATACAGCACCATTAAATTTCAGTAATGCCGTTGTCGTTACATGCTTTGGAAATACCTGGCAGCCAGGATCTTCTGACATGCATACTTTGGCAGGCTTTTCAAACAGTTTGCTAAAAGCCAACTGATGCATTTCCGATTGGCATATTCTAGCTAAGTTTAGCTGTCTTTCTTTTAGATGTTTGTATCATTGAATTGTTTCGATAAGTCGGCTTGAAATGCGTTTATTTTACCAAAATTTTTCAACTTGAAGTAGTTAAAAAATATCGGATAAGTCTGTATCCTTTAAGTTTTCAGCTTCATGTAGATAATATCAGACCATAATTTGTTCTAGTCCCTAAAGGTTCTAGCTTCAATATCTTAGTAGGAATGGCTATTTAGTACTGAACTTTTCCAATGACGATTGACCGGAATATATATGGTTGAAACGTTGGTTATATGGAGAGCTCAATGATGTCAGAAGTGTGTCAGAAGCAAAAAATTCATGCTTCGGCATAGCGAAAAAGCTCTCCATTGGCGCACCGGATTCTGATACCATATTTGACCCAATCGTAGAACCCACCTTGCCATCAGCACCTGTGCTCGTTTCAGTCTATCCCTAACTATGAACATATCACATTTCAGTGGAAACGCTATTAATTGAAGTCCTGTCGTCATTGTCATCTGCGCATAAAACATTGATATACATTGACATTGATAGGAGCATACATTGATGATCGTGGAGTTGCAGAGTTCCATTTAGATCTCACATGAGCCATACGATCGCTAATCAATTTCCATACAATTAGAGTGGATCGATCATTTTCAGGCATTACAGTCGCTACGCCATTTCGCTTTGATTTATCAGAAGCAATGAGCCAGTACTTCTGCTCTGAGACGGTTTATTAATTGATCGAGACCTTAGATGAGAAAGGCGGATAAGGACGAATATCTACATAACATCTGGATAATGATGAAATGTGGCTTTGACTCTTCTGGCTCGCTACGTTTATAAACATTCCGACGTTTCACGCTTCGGCTATTACCTCGCGTCTGCAGTGAGCTGTGGTCAATTGTTCCTTTCTGTTTATTAGGACCTGGTTTACTATTGCATGGATTAAGAGTATCATGTTCACCGGAGGACTCGAACGCTATAATAAAATGACCTGATCATTATATCATAGAGATACGATCATATATTATGGCGTAATAAATGCTTTTTTTTTCAATAATTTATAATTAGAAAAGGAGAATGCGAACCCGGAAATCGTAGCGAAAAGAGAATGCAGTCCAGATCGACGTTCTGCTACGGATGAAACGTGGAGTGTTTGTTCCAGCTCTAATATGGAAATTCAGGTAATATCAGGCAAGTAATATTTCAGTGGATGCAAGCAGTAGTAAGTTTGGGAACATATTCAATATTCAGTTGACTTCAAGTTGTCCAGTCCAGAATGGCGGAAAATCGTCACCTCACTAGTTTATTATTTAAAAGAAATAGGAAAACATTAAATATTCATAAACATTAAATATTAAATATTCAAAATTAACAACTGATGAGGTTATTTTTTCTTTGACAGCACCTTAACGTCGTTCGTTTAGGCATTTTTGCGAACGTTGAAGGTGCTGTTCATTTAACATATTGCGATGATTTATTGCAATGATATTGCAGTGTCATTGGTACACTTTTTTTTCATTGGAAAGTTTTATTAAGAAAATCAAATGCTCAAAGCATTCATTTCTGAAATTATAGTTTGAAAATGCTTTTCGGGAGAAAGTGATTTGGTCCTTTTGGTTAACATCATTTATTCTACGATTACGAAATGGATTTGATTTGTTCAACATTTTTTATGTTATGATATTATGTAACAAACTCCCTTGTCAGCATAGCATAAAGGATGATGCAATTTCTCTTGTACTTGTGATATTCATTATAGGAATTGAATGATGAAAGTAGCGAAGGACCACTGACGCCAAGAATACTCCATTCGCCGAAGCCTTCTGAAAAATCTGAATGGGTGAACTGGGATGAGTAAGTAAGCTGATTCTTCGTATGTAGCTTGTCGTTTATTCACATTATCATTATTATCTTATCTTTGATTTCGTCGCATATAACAATAATATTTAAAATGGTTGTGCCTACTTCCCATGATAAAGTTTATGCAAACATGCTGAGCTCGGATTTTCGAAAATGTTTTATCTTATGCCAGTTCCTATTTTGATTGTGTTTCGTAAATGAAGAAGCGACAGATGGCTTGTCTGTCACTTCTTCACCATTTTCATTTTTTGCTTTAAGTTTCATTTGATTTTTTATAAGTTGTACATTCATGTGATCAATTTGTAAATTTCTATTCATTCATATATTTATAGTCCTTTATCGAATCTCTTCTCTGCCAGGTACTAGGCCCTGTTTTATAAGAAACATTCAGATCTTTCATCATTAGCCGTTGTTTTCGTTAACTATTGAGTGAGATTTTTGAGTGAGACCATAAATTTAATAAAAAATAAAACAATAAAAAATATGATTTTAATCCATCTGATAATATTTGGAATTTTTAATTCTAAGCACATTAGTAAAAATATAGTGCGGACTTAAAGTTAAAGAAAAGATTCATTATTTCTGTTTTTTTTCAAAATGTATTGTATTTCCCTTTTATTCATAATATGCAACATATGTAGAGAATATAGAGAAAGGTTTTTTATTCCTTTTTTAAATGTTCTCGTAAAGCGATATGGGTGCTGGAATATTTGTAAAACGTCTTCCAGTTTTAATTCTAATTCTTGTCTTCAAATATTTAATATTCTACATTAATTTTTGGGTTGATGAAAAATTCTATCTTTTTTGCTTGTATATAAAAATGTTTATTTCTATTAAAATAATGTTCTTTCATTTTTAAGGCAAGAAAAAAATACATTTAAGAACTTCGAAAGGTGCCTTTTGTCGAATTATTGATTCCATGAATTATTTTTGGAAACGAAATTATTCTATAAACTTGATAAGTGCAATTTGATGAATTTTTTAGATGGACATTTGTATAGACTTAAGGCTTGATGGCTTGATAATAGGCTGCATGACTCTGTTGTTAAAAATTATTTCTTTTGTTGTGTTCAGGCAGGAGACATTATTTTCTTATCATTCGTTCAGTTTGGTTAATTTACATGGACCATGAGAAGAATGTTTTCAGATTTCTTGATTTTTTTTATCGAAATTTGCTAATATATTCTTTAGGTTTTTATAGGAGGCAAACGAAATCTATTTTTCTTCTTAATATAGGAAATTTATTCGGTTTGAAGCGCTGTTTTTTCCTTCCCTACTGCCCGGCTAATACTGAGTGATTTACCTGTATTTTCATGCCTTAATGGCTCCGCTAAGGTCGTGTCATCCTAAATTAATAACCGAATCAGAATTGGTCAAGAA